GGGGGCCGTAAAGGACAGGTTCATGTGGTGTATTTTAATGGGTGCACAGCTTTTGAGACAGCTTCCAGAAAAGAATTCGTATTATCCCCTACAAGGCTCAGGAAACACTCCAGAACATGGTGTGGAAAGGATATAGGACCCGGGGCAAAGCATGGAGTAAAGTAGAGAGCTGTCTTCCAGGCACAGCTTTTTCGATTTGCAGCTTCCAGAACCTTTTTCAGTCCCTTCTGTCTTTGGCTATACTTTATAATATTTTATATTTTATGTCAGTGCCTCTCAGTGTTCCTTTTGATTCAGTATCTAGTATTCAAAATTTACAGCAAAGCTTGTATGGTAAGTTATTTTATAGTGAGAGACTAATTGGTCAGCAGTACATCCTGGTGTTCCTCTTTTCCACCCCCTTGCTCCTTCTCAAACGTGTGTGCTCTTTTCTGAGCCTTAATGTCTTTTTTTTTTTTTTTGGTTGGTTGGTTGGTTGGTTGGTTGGTTGGTTTTTTTGAGACAGGGTTTCACAGTAGCTATGGAGTCAGTCCTGGAAATCAATCTGTAGACCAGGCTGGCCTCGAACTCACGGGGACCCACCTGTCTCTGCCTCCCAGGTGCTGAAATTAAAGGTGTGCACTACCACCACCCTGCAAACTTTAATTTCAATTTTAAGACTTTGCTGCAATTACATGCTCTATCCAGACCCTTTTTATCTCTTAATTACTTATCCATTTGAAGCTTAGGAGGCCCAGCCACATTTTACTAGTCTAGAAATGGAATGCACCAATGATGGTATCATCACTGAGCAGATTGTTTTCTTCTTAAATAAAAATAGCTCTCTGGAATTTAATAGACAAGGGCTGAAATCACAAGAATGTCACTCAGGACACCCAGCGATGAAAACCTGTTTGTTTAGCAGGAAGCACCTGGAGTTAGGAAGCCTGAGCACTGGTTCAGTGCACTCATTTGTAAACCCAAATATGGTTCTGTACCGTGGACCAGTCGTTGGGACATCAGATGAAAGCAGTTTCTGGATTTCTAGGTCCTATATACATAGATCTAACCAGCAGTGATAGAAAATGTTTTGAAAGTTTGCTTCAATATCAAAGATCTATAAACTTTTTTATTATTTCCCAAATAAAATAATAGCAAGTATTTATGTAGCATTTACATTGTATTATGTATTGTTAGTAATTTATGAAGTATTGATTTATATAGGAATATTGGGGATATTTTGCTTAAATATTTGTTTTTTGGGTTTTGGTTTTTGGTTTGTTTGTTTGCTTTGCAACAGAGTTTCTTTGTGTAATAGCCTAGGCCATCTTGGAACTCACTTTGTAGACCAGGCTGGCCCCCAAAGTCACAGATATCCACATGCCTCAACCTCCTGAAGCTGGGATTAATGGCATGCACCGCCACTGAATACAGCTCACAGGAATATTGTTTATGTTGCATATAAATACTTCCTCCTCTCCGTGTTGTAGATTGAACCCAGGATCTTGGGCATGGTAGGCAAGCACTCTACCATAGTTCCTAGTTTCCCATTGCATCATTTTCTACAAGGGATATGAGCATCCATGAATTCTATATTCAGTAGAGGTTCTGTGACCTATTTTCTTTGGGTACTGAGAAATTGCTACAGTGTTTTACCTCAAAACACAGGCCATGATTCTACCATTTCAAAGTGGATACTCCTATTGTATAAGAAATCATAGGGGTTGGAGAGAGATGGCTTAGCAATTAGGAGTACTTATTTGCTCTTGTGGAAGCCCTGGGTTTGGTTTCTAGAACCTACATGGCGATTCACAACTTTCTATAATTCCAGTTTCAGAGTATTAGATGCCCAAATGTAGTATACATAAACTTATCCAAATATACATAAAAATACACATACACATAAAAATAAAAACTAATTAATTTCTCTTAATAGAAAGACTTTATGTTGTGAGTTGTCTTTAAGACTGTTTTCTGTAAGGAGGAGAGCTGCTGACTGGTCCTGGATTTTGGGGACTTCAAGAATGATGAGTGGGAGGGAATTTAAACACAGCGTGTAATGATACACATGTGTTACAGTGTTATGAAATCCGTTATTTTGTACACTAAAAAGTATACAAACAAAATATAGGAGACACATACACACAAATTACCCTATATTACTGCTTCCATATAGCAGTTGCTGTAGTATGTCTCTTTAAATTACTTGTGAAAATAATATTCTGCATATCAAATCTATCTAGGGAGTTCTAAAGTTTCCTGAATTCCAAGAATGTGAATATATTGGCTTGACTATTTTGAAATTGTTAGTATTTGGGATTTTTTTTCTTTTTCTAACCCACAGAAATTTTATATCATTTAGCCTGGTATAGATTGAACATCTCTATCTAAACGTTTGGGATTGGAACTGTTTCAGATTTGTGGTTTTCCTCTTGGTTGTGGTGGTGATGTTTTTAGTTTGTCTTGGTTTTGCTTTAGTATAAACTATCAGTTAAAGCACTGTGATATGAAAATATGAAGTGCTCTGAAACCTTAGGCTAGTGGAAGTCTTTCAGAGCTTGCTTCTAGGTCCTAGACTTTAGGAACAGGAGCACGCCCCTGTGTTGTTAGGAACAGGAGCACGCCCCTGTGTTGTTAGGAACAGGAGCACTTCCCCTGTGTTGTTAGGAACAGGAGCACTTCCCCTGTGTTGTTAGGAACAGGAGCATGCCCCCTGTGTTGTTAGGAACAGGAGCACTTCCCCTGTGTTGTTAGGAACAGGAGCACGCCCCCTGTGTTGTGACTACACCAGCAGTTGTTATCATTGCAGCTGTATTTGAAAGCTCTTTCAACCTAAAAACAGAATTTCTATTGTATTTGGCTTGTGTTGTTTATTCATTTAAAGAAGAATTTTCTCTCTCGATCAGTCCTGAGAAAACTAGGCAGTTAACTATAAACAATTCAAATTCTGTGAGAATTTTAGAAGAATGTACATCATCACTGAATTCAGATGGCATTAAAGGTTTCTCATCTAGCCAGGCGGTGGTGGCATACGTCTTTAAACCCAGCACTCGAGGCAAACAGATGAACCTCTGTGAGTTGGAAACTAGCCTGGTCTGGAGAGCAAGTTTGAGGACAGCCAGGGATACACAGAGAGACTATGTCTAGAAAAACAAAGGTTTCTCACCCAGCCTTCTAAAGATCCTGTCTTCTGAAGTCTTCCTGGAGGTTGGCATTTGGGCACAGAGTGCAGTGCTGCAGTGTTGAGGAGGAGCTCTCATGGTCAGAGGTGAGGCATGCTGACTGAGCCCATGTGAGGCTGGGATAAGTAAGGTCAGAAGCCAGTATGGGCCAGATTCCAGGAGATGACCTTAATGGTTTTTTGTAATTGGGGGAAAAGAATGAATCGTTTTATCTCATATAACATTTTGTATTTCCAGTGCTGGCTGTATATCCAAAACAAATGCTCTACTATTTCCCTATGTTTAGATTTAAAAGGCATTATAACTGGGTGTGGTGGTGCAGAGGCAGGCTGATTTCTGTGAGTTTGAGGGCAGCCTGGTCTATGTAGTGAGACTCTGCTTCAAAAAAGCAAATAAATAGATGAAATCTTTAAAAGTAAAAAAATGTAAGATGATTTCATGTGTCTGACAAAAGGCAGGCTGTCTTGGTTCAAATCCTAGCTCCCCTGTTTTCTAGCTGTCATTGGGCAACTTAATACCACTAGGCATTAAATGAGATGATAATAGAAACCCGCTGCTATGATTGTTAGTATTAGCAGGGTTAGTAAGTTAACGAAGTATTCGGCTTGATTCATAGACATTAAGTGTAAGGCAGCTGCCTAATTACTGTTATTAACTTGTTTATTTGTCATTTTAGTTTTAGAATATTATTTTGGTTCCAGTAAAACATGGCATAAGATAATTGTGGGTTAGACTGCGGTGATAGATAGCAAAGGAGACTCCCTTATTTGCTGGGGACATGTTCCAAGACCTCCAGTGGTTACTTAAAGCATCAGATAGTGCCAGACTGTTTTATCCTTTCTATACCTTTAATAAAGTATAACTTACAGAGTAGGCATAGTAAGAGGTTAAAAAAAATAGATAATAATAAAATAGCTATAACAGTATGTTGTGATAAGTATGAATGTGGGCTGTCTCAAAGTGTACCATTTTCTATTTGGTGCTTTTAGACTACAGCTGATCCTAGATAATAGACTATAAAATCGCAGCTTGGGAGACTGATATACTGTGTAAGACATGCTCAGAGGTAGAGCCCTTGGCATACTGAGTGTTTGGTGGATGAGTGTGGAAAGGGACTGGGAGAAGAAGGAGCAGGAGTCGGTACCTCAAATAATCTTTGAGCTACAGTGGTTTAAATACAGAAAGCTGCTGCTGCTCTCTGCTGAGGCCTGTTACATGTGGCTTGCTGTTAGTCTTGTGCTTCAGCATGTTTTTAGGGCCTTGCTTTCCTGCAGTAAAGTGCTCACACTTCACTGAATTGTGATTGTAAGGCATCCTTTTGCCCACAGTAAGAATGTATAAAATAAATAAGAATACAAGTTGGATCACACATAATGTTCTGTTCAGATTTGCAGACCTCCTGGAATTATTACAGACACCATCATTTGTTTTCTTTTACCCTACTGGAAATGTGGGGCTTTTTTCTGGCAGCATTATACCATTCCCTCAGCGCCCAATTCCTAGTTATTGAAAAGCACCTTTTATGATATCTGAAATAAATGCTATATGATTTCAAATTGCATCCTAAGATTGGAAAACTTGTACTTGAACATCTGCATGCTGTTTCGAGTGTCACGTGGGTAGAGCACCTAACTAGACTGGTGAAGAGATGAGTATATAATAAATGAGAAAATAAAATTTAAGTCTTCTAACTATAACTTCTTGTGCATCTGAGTTAGAGTTCCTCCATTGCCGTGTACTGTTAACACACTTCCTTTCTCTGATAACTGTTCTTTGTCCTTGGGAAAAATGGTACACAAAATAGGACTTTTCCCCTCACTCCTCTGGTTGTGAGCTTCAGCCCAACTCCTGACTCCTCCCTCTCTTCCCTCCCTCTCCACCCATCCACCCTTGTAGTTGCTTGCTATTTTTCTTGCTGGCAGTCTGGATTCTACTCATTTACCTAAGAGGGGGATTCTAGACAGACGGGAGACAGCTTTCAAATACACTGGACTGCTGGCAACCCAAGTCAGTGCCCACAGTGCATTTTGAAAACTCGGGAGCTTCTCTATGGCGATGAGTTGCCCAAGATGCTAGAGAGTCTGTGTGAGCACATTCGTTTTCCTTCCCTTTCCCCTTTCTTTCTCTTTCCAAGTCCCTTCTCCCTGCTTCCCCTCCTACTCCTTTATCCTCTCCCTCTGTGCTTTAGTTCTGCCGCACACAGACTGAAGCACAACCCTGCAGCAAGGCTTTCTGTTAAGGATTTATTGTGGCTTTTATTTGGATTTCATCATGCGGAATTACAGGTAACACTCTGAAATTGAGCTAAGCATTTAAATTCTATTAAGATGTTTTCAGTGGTAAAAATAGTACATTGAATTTAATTGAAAAATTAATCTTGGTTAATTTTTATGTAGCCAGATGTTTTCAGGATTACCATAAGGAGATTCTGTCTCCCACAACGCGTTCAATAAAAGAAAATGAGGGTAGTATGGATCAATAAGTACTTTCCTTTTATGTTGATCTTGGTATAGCTGCTCCCCTGGAGTAAGTGCCCCTTTATGGATGGGTGCTGCTGAGAGGAAAGGGGTGGTTGGTAGCAGTCAGAGCTAGCTAGGTTTTTTGACTAGGATATGGAATGCAAAATGTAAAATGCCTTCTCCTTTTCTTCTATCAGCTGTTCAGAGGAGACTCATTACAACTCCTGCTGAAGCTCCCAATCTTCCTCTCTCTGTCCCTACCCCCACTCTCACTTGGCCTGAAGACACTGTCCCCAGTTTACCTTACTCCCTTGGTGCTATGCGCATGGTAAACATGGCAGTATGGCCAAGTCTGGGACTCACCAGACAACTGCTGTTGACTTTCCCCATTCCAGGAAGAATTTAAAGGGAAATTGCACAGCAGGCAATGTACTTCAGCAACACCACCACCAGGAACATGGTGACTAGGGTTCTCTGGGACTGTCTCACACAAACACACACATGCAGAGTTGAATGCAGTGGCAATAGCTGCTCCTGGGAACTGTGACAGCAGCCAGGTGGCAGCATGAAATGAGAACCAGTTCCCGAGCACGAGATGAACTCCACCTTGGATGGTGATCAGAGCAGCCATTCTTTCTGTCTCCTGGCACTGGGCTACTCAGAAACTGTCGGTTTTTGTCTTTTGGAAGCACTGGTTGTTGTCTTTCTAACCACATTGATTATTTCTGGCAACATCATTGTGATTTTTGTGTTTCACTGTGCGCCTCTGTTGAACCATCACACTACAAGTTATTTCATCCAGACAATGGCATATGCTGACCTCTTGGTTGGGGTAAGCTGCCTGGTCCCTTCCTTGTCACTACTCCACTACCCCCTTCCTATGGAGGAGGCCATGACTTGCCAAGTATTTGGCTTTGTAATATCAGTTCTGAAGAGCGTTTCCATGACTTCTCTGGCCTGTATCAGCATTGATAGATATATTGCCATCACTAAGCCTTTAACCTATAATACGCTGGTTACTCCCTGGAGACTACGCCTGTGTATTTTTCTGATTTGGCTGTATTCCATCCTGGTCTTCCTGCCTGCCTTCTTCCCCTGGGGCAAACCTGGATATCATGGAGATGTATTTCAGTGGTGTGCAGTGTCCTGGCACACCAACCTCTACTTCACATTGTTCATCATGGTAATGCTGTATGCCCCAGCTGCCCTCATTGTCTGCTTCACATATTTCAACATCTTCCGCATCTGCCAACAGCACACAAAAGAAATCAGCAAAAGGCAAGCCCGATTCAACAGCCGGAATGAGGAGACTGCGGAATCTCAGACTTGTCCTGATAAGCGCTATGCCATGGTCCTCTTCAGAATTACAAGTGTGTTTTATGTCCTCTGGTTGCCATACATCCTCTACTTTCTGCTGGAGAGTTCCACTGGCTGCAGCAGCCACCTTGCATCCTTCCTGACTACCTGGCTTGCTATTAGTAATAGTTTCTGCAACTGTATCATTTACAGTCTCTCCAACAGTGTTTTCCAAAGAGGATTAAAGGGTCTCTCAGGGGCTGTGTGTACCTCTTGTACAAGTCACACTACAGCCAAGGACCCTTACACAGTTAGGTGGAAAGGACCCCTTAATGGATGTTGTATCTGAGGGGTTCATATACTCAGTTGCTTTGTTTGCAAGGAGAAAGGATGACTTTGGCTCTCCTTTTCCCTTCTACCCTGTACTCCCAGTTTACTAGGAGATCTAGGACAGGATAATTTGACTCTGAGCAGCTGCAGACTATCCAGACACTTTTCAGTTTGCAGAAGTTGTTTCCTAAATGAGATTTAAAATTAGAAGAATCTGGATCATTAAAAAAAACAACTCATGGTGCAGTTTTTGAAATGTCATGGAAGTAACTACAGTTTCAGATTCAAAAGGAATAAAGCCATTGCTAATACCTCTCCCAGCTGGCGTGACTGAACCTGGATGTGAAAAGCGGCAGCACTTTTTAAAAAAAAAAAAAATCCCCATTTTCTTTTCCCTTTTCTGGATTCTTCCAAGCAATTTGGAACTTGTGTGCAATTGATATCTTTTAACAGGGACTATTAAGATAGAATGATGAGCTAACAAGGATTTTCTTTATCTGTGCCAAAATATAACTGCACTGTAAGTTTCAATACTCCTTTAGATAGTGAAATGTCTTGAAAGAAATCGCCATAGGATGAATAATGTGATCCCTGAAGATTTCTTTTGAAGTTTTGAAATGAACCATGAAGCAACCATGCAATGAAGTCATACAGTTTGTGAGAAACAACTGCATTTACTCCATGCTTGTGAACATTCTGTACACGTGTGTAGTACAAGTGACATTATAGTGCTTTTTCCTGTGCCTCTGTGTTTGTGAATATTGAACATTTACATTGAGTTGAGTTTCTTTTTATAACAAAATGTATTTAAATAGATAATAGATAGATAGCTATTCATTGTAATGTGTTTGTCTAAAAGGAGAGAGCCGTTAGCAGTTCCAATCAGTATTTCCGGGACTTTGTGCTAGTTTTCATTTTTAGAAAGTGCCAGGGAGATTAACTGGCCTCTGACTTTGGCCAGAGGTTGTCGTGCAGGTGGAACTGTGATGCTCAATGAACAGGCAGTGGAGGAGACCAGGAGTGCTAGCAAAGGTGGATTTTCAAATCCAAGAAAGGATAAGGATGATTATGAAACCCACAGATATGCTTTGGTTTTCCATCCTGATGTTAGAAGGCTATTCCCTTTTAAATAGAATTAAATAATTCTTGTATTACACCCAGAGCTTTGTGCAAACAAGGCAAATACTTCTTTTATATTAACAACATAATTTATTTGTTCTGTTTTTGCTTTTAAGCCAGTGACTCACTCTTTAGCACTAGCCTCCTAGGAACTCACTGTCTAGACCAGACTGGTCTTGAACTCACAGAGAGAAGACCCACTTGTCTCTCTCCTCGGATTAATTAATGGTCCACCATGGCCAGGCCCTCGCCAGTTTTATGTTTTAGACATTGATTTTTATTTTAACTTCACATACCTTCTTTTTTAAGCTTTTTAAGTGACTAAGAATTATAAAAGCTTCAGAATTCAAGTTCTAGTGGCAAGTAGAGCTCTGTGAGTTCAAGGTCAGCTTGATCTACAAAATGAGTTCCAGAACAGCCAGAAGTACATAGTGAGATCCTCGCTCAAAAAATAAAACGGATTCTGAGTTTTCCCCCAAATCTTGCTTGTTTTGTATAGTTAATATTAGCAAATTTAATCCAGCTGTTTCAGAATTTAAGACTCATGATGAAAATGCTCGGTTAGAAGTAGCTTTGTTGCTAGATGGTGGTGGCACACTCGGGAGGCAGAGGCAGGCGGATCTCCGTGAGTTTAAGGCCAGTCTGGTCTATGAGACAGAGTTCTGCTGCAGTGCAGTGAAATTTCAGCTGATATACAAAAGGTGGTAGGTCCAGCGCCTTGTGAATCTGGCTTTATCTCTTTCAGAACACATTCATTCTGGTGGTTCAGCCTTCTGCTCTATCAGCTGAAATCTCACTGCATGATTCCTGCAGACTGCAGCTCTCCCTGTTTTTCATTTAATAAATGCAGTGTATGGACATCCTCTGGTCACCGCGTATTTCAGATCCTAAGTGTCTGAGAATGACTGGAATAAAGAATAAAAGTCAAATGATTACTGCTTCTATAATTCCAAAATTGATAAGAAGGTTCCATAAGGAGTTATTATCAACAAAATCTTTAACTGGGTTGACAAAATGATTGACTGCCTCTTCTGGAGAAGAAAGCCGGAGTCTGCAATGGCTAATGACACGGATCTGATTATGTAAGGTACCTATGTTTATATCTAGCTGGCAACTGTTCCAGGTACCTCTCAGGTGAGCTTGTACCTGATTCCAGGACATTCCTGAACCATTAAACAGTAAAGGAGTGACACACATCTACTTAAAATCAGCATGACATGATGTTGTTAAATGATATTCTGAATCTGATTTGTTTAACATGGGAATTCCCCTTCTCCCCTTTGTAGAGTTTAGAAGCCTCTTTTCTGGCCACACCTCCCCAGGGCCATAAAGATACTGACAGTACCTCAGGACAGCTCTTATCTGCCTTTTGACCTGAGAAAATTCAAGCAAAGAAATTGTCTTTGCTGTGTGTGTGTATGCAAGCTGAAACTTAGCAGGAAAAAAGAAAAAAGAAAAAAACGAGAAACTGATACAGAAAAGTGCGTAGTGGAGAGTTCATTTCACCCTCAGATCTAAGTTCCCTGCTTGCTGTGAGTCTTCTGAACCCTGAAAGGGACACTGACGCTGGCCCATAGAATTCCAGGGCAGCCCGAGTCACACAGAAACCCTGGCCCAGAGTTGGGAGGGAACTTAGTTGAATTTCTGTTTCAAGTAGAAAATGTTTTCTGCTGGATTCTAGAAATAAGTTTGTAAATATCTATCTTCTTGCATTACACAGCTGAAAGATCAGCTCTATAGACGTGGTGGGGTGCGTGCATTTCATTCCCTTTTGTGAAGTGGTCTCTTGTAGTTCTCCCTTCCTCCTGCTCCCAAGTGCTGGGATTTCAGTTGTTCACCACACCAGCTTGTTTTTCATACATGCTAGGAAGTTTCATCTTTTCATATTTGCATTGTGCTTACGAATTTTTAGTTCAGCAAACATGGGAATCTTGAAAATGGCGTTCATTAAAATGTATTAAATCAGTAGTAAGAGAACAGCTTTTCCTTTTAGAAGAAGTTAAACTCTTTTCGCTCTTGCATTCTGAGGTTCCATTTTGTAACAGTGGGAAAGAAAATTATTCTGGTATTGGCAACAAATGCAAGCATGGCTTTTTAATTAAGATCTTTTTCTAACAGTTGCTTGGTTTTATAATATCAAGTTCTGGTTTTATTAAAGGCATTTTTTTTCAAAGTAGAGTCTATAGTGCTGTTTGAAGCACAGACTGAAGAAGAAAATAAGTAGTTGTAGTAATTGTTAAAAAGAAAATAGGTAGCCCCTTTCTGATGCTTAGTAATAGCAGAGGTCTTCCCAGCTTGTGTTGTAGTCATTGTGCTGTGTAGACTTTTAAGGCTCAAGGAATCAATCCTGTTATCTTTGATTAATTGTGGGTACTACTGGTTTATTTTTAACTAGTAAGTGTGGCAGGGCTGGAGTTAAGAAGAGATGAAGGGAAAAGATACATAGTCTACAGGGGCTGGGAGAATTCTCTCTGCATAATAGCTTTGAAAAGTTTGTGTTTAATCATTTTATTCTGGCAGATTTAATGCAACATTTGATGACATTTTGTTTAAATACCAATCTGACTAGTTCAGAGTGAAAAAAAAGCACCTATTTTTAGACTCAAATACCACGGATAGCTCGTCTAACTCAGTGGTATGTAACTGGTACCAGAATACACATATACTTTTAGAGATAGTGTCGAAGTTACTTCATAATAAAGCTTCTAAAGTAAGACCATGCTTATTGTTTAGCTTGTAAATGAATTGTGTGGTCTTATGCAGTCATTCCAGTGAGGACATTTTGGTTCTCTTAGAGTGGGGAAGTAGTTAGCATGTGAGCCAGTGGCTACTTTAGAAAGAATGCTGAACAGCCCAGTTGTTGACAGACCTGCTGCTGCTTACTCAGAACCCTCTTTTTGGACAGGTTTCCTCTTAGAAGTATTGCTGCGTAAATTCTTTTTGAGCCTTTTACAATGACTTTTCTTTTGTACTTAGTTTATTTCATATTTTCAGGATTGGAGAAACTTGAATTTTCATACTATAAATGAACTGTCTGTGCCCTTGAATGTGAAGTGGCAGGTTCACCAGTTTAGATGGTAGAATGGTTTGGGGAGGGTTTCCTCTGCTTTTCCAGAGTTCCTTTGAAAAATGTGCACAATGACTTTGTGGAAAATGTCTTGCAAGCATTCATTGACCTTGTGCTTCTGTATTAAAAAGATTTGTGAAATAAGTTTTTGGCAAATCAGAGTTTATTGGTATATGAGCAGTTTAGGAGATATTTAAAGATGGGAGAATTGTGGCATTGGGAAATTTTTAAGCCTGTAAATCATGGCATGTTGTGGTTTTGCATGCTTTTCCTATTTCAGAAAAACCAAATGTAAATATATTAAACTGTACATGTTATTGATATTATTTATAGATTCTAGAAATGAGATAGCTATTTCTTTTTGAGGAGGTGGGGTTGGAGAAAGCGTTTTTTCCATGTAGTCCTGGCTGTCTTTGTAGACCAGGCTGCCTCAAACTCAGAGAGCCACCTGCCTCTGCCTTCCTAGCACTGGTATCAAAGATGTGCACCACCACCGCCTGACTGTGGTAGCTATTTCTTAGGACTACAAATGAGTCACCAGCATTTCTTTAAAAATTGGGTGATAACAGAACTTTGTACTGCAAATGTGGAAAGCTGGTAAGCTGGTTAGTAAAGCAGAGAGAGTAAAGGCACTAGAGGTCTGCTATGGACCGGCTCAGGGGAGCCACTCAGACCGTGAGGGAATCAGGGCGAAGGACGGAAGATTTCAGGATACGGCGGAGGAATTGACAGACAGCCACTCTCAATGTATTTTGAAAATGCTATTGTGTTTTACTTTTTCAGTGCGAGGTTTTTATATTATTACAAACAAAGAACTTGGCAAAGGCATACATCATCAGATCATAAAAAAAAAACATAGAATAGTTTACAAAAAGAATCTTTGAAAATGCTTTGACTTGGGCACAAGGACTTTCGCCCAGTCTGTACCAGGCGGCTGGCAGGACTAAGTGACCCTGTGCTCAGAATATCTTGGGGTGTGAGAGGAGAAGGCCACTATCTTCCTGGGAAAACTTTCTGCTAGGAAATTTTAGACATGATCTCAAACTTGTCTGAATCTGGTTTCATACCATAAATCTAACTTTCTTCCCTCCCCGACTCTCAGGGTCAGATGCTGTAATTAGCCTAGGTTATTCTGGCCATAATGAAGGCTGCATAAGCCTCCTGCACGTAATTCTCAGGCAAACATCTAGTGTTGCTGCAGCTGTTTTCCTACAGAAGGCTTCTAAGGTTTCTCCTGATAAGAGCAACTCCTTTTGCTCCACATCATTAAGGAATTATTTTAACGATGACTTCCCTATTTCCAGAACTGGCTCTTTCTTTAAAGGCTTTAATGAATAGGGGCGCAAAACTCAAAAATGTCCTCAGCAGTCTTGTTTGTATCCGCAACTGCCTGGAATAGTCTGATCTGTTAGCAATATGCAAGGATCACAAAGAACACACAGACAAGGGAAAAGACAGACATATAGCACCAAGTACAGTCAGGTCGAGTCAGTAAATGGCAACTCGGGTAGCATTACACCACAACTGATTGCCAAGGGACAGCCCAGGACTCAACTCCGAGAAGCGCGGATCCTGATCCTTCCGGCAATATTTGCCCATCCAGTCAGCATTTCTGCTACACTGGCGAGACAGCCATGGATGTAGCAGAGGTCCTTTCATGCTCTGTGACTCTGAAGGACTGAATCAGATAATGTGAAGAACTTGAGTGCAAGTGATGACTCTTTCTACTTGCCATAGCTTCATGTAGAGGCTATGTGTTATGGTGAGCTGCCATACATTCAGTCATGGAATAGAGCACTACTCTGTGCTATTTAGCAATCCCAGACCTGAAGATTATATAAGCACTAGTTTACTTCCTTTTATTGCCTGAAAAATTGATGAAGGCAAAGGGCAGTACCCCCAATAGCTGCATCCCCCAAATATCACACAGAACCTGCTCCAGAACAGAAGTCTGCATAAACACAGAATGAATAAATGACTTTTTTTAGTCTCCTGCCTTGCTCCCTTCTGTCCTTCTGGATTGATAATAGGATTGTTTTAAATGTACTCTCAAGCCCTACAAGCAACTTTCTATATGATCTGGGCTACTTTATACTCTTTAGAAATGATACTATTTCCTCCTTTTTCTTTTTTTTTTTTTCTAATGAAAAGAGTAGTGTGGGAATACATTCTCCGTAACTGTTCCTGAGGCTACCCTATGCCTGGCAGTGTTACCAACTGCAGTTTCTCACAGCATAGATGAGATGCACATAGTCGGAACATACCTTGCTCCAGAGCCAAGTAAAAGAAGCTATAAAATTCAGCCACAGAAGAGACTAGAGATGTTGGAACCTTTGGTGCTATGGCTTTGCTTTCTCGGTGACACTGGTTGCTGTATCTCTAGTAAAGTGTCCTGTCTCATATAACATTTTGGCCCTGAAACATTACACATGGAAAGTTCTGAAGTTAGGTTTTTCAAGGAGCCTCACAGAGTGAACTTCACCCAGAGGAATTTACCAAAAGAATCCTTATGAGACACACAGTCCATCTTTTATTTAGGGTAAGCTCACATAATGTCAATTCATTATTAAAGTAAGTAATGGCAGTCTTTTCCTGAAAGTACGTCATTGACTGCACCATATGCAGATGGTTCCCAGATGGGGATGGAAACTCTTAACACTGTTCTGTGGTGTGAGGGATCAACTCTGTGACTAGAAAAGCCTTGCCATTCAGACACAAGAAGAAATGAAGTCATCTCTGCAGCCAGTGCTGATCTGCCTGTGTGCTGTCAGACACCATGTTACATTGATCTAAATTCTTGTCATTTGTCTTTGCATAAGAATCCTTGCAAGTCTTACTAGCCTTCGAAACTTTTTTGGTTTTGCT